AGCCGGGTCGGAACCTGGTTCTTCACCCAATAATGGCATATCACTCTCTGCAGTCTCCATGTCCTGTGTCGGTGGAAGTGTCTCGGCATCTGCTTCTGTAGGGGGGATTGTATCATCCTCGTCCTGTGTCGGTGCCGTCTGTTCAAGGACTGATGGGATATCCCTCTCATTATGTTCCTGTTGGGGTTAATAGCGTCAGCCTATAGCAGTGTTGTACTAATAGTTCAAATAGGGACCAACTTCCGTAAAGAAGCCACATTACCTCCAAAATCCCCTCCGAATCCTGAAGCACTACCCGTCGAGTGGAAGATGTTTTTTTGCTTTGAGTACGAGCATCACGCTCTTTCTCCCACTCTGATGTGATGGAGCGAAGTCGCTGGAGCAATGGTGAGACCCAAGATCCCTTCCGTTTCGTTGCTTTCTTCGTGGTTTTTCGGATAGGTGATGGATATCTACTAGGCGGATTAGTTGCCTCTACGGGGCTGTTGCGTGTAGATGCCCGGGTAAACCGTCTTACGGGAGAGGCAGCCGGATCTGTGACCCTCCTACAGCACTACGTTGAGATTTTCCCATAACCTGCAAGGCACATGCGATTGTATCAACGTAACATGCAACCAAAAACCTAATGTTTAAGTCCTATCACGGACGTACACCCCAAATTTAAAAGAATAAAGTTATCTCATCGGTTTGCATAAAATGCATTTACGTCTCTAGAAGTCCATGTTCTCTACATATAAACATAAAATAACCTTCACCAATATAATATGAAACACGGATGCTATATATGACACTAGCATTATACTTTATCGTAGCATTAAGCCACATGGTTTAAGATACGCAGTCTTCCCCACTTCAAAACCTTATATGGATGCCCCCTAAATAGTAATAAATGGATTTCGACTCCCCATCACAATTTCTGATCGGCCATTTGTAGACACAAGGCAAATTTCTCACTATTCTAACTTTATTACAGTGAAACTAAGAAGAAAATACAACGATGTCGATGCTAGAGATGAAGGATATGTGATGCTAGTACGTCAAATTTAATATAATTAAGAAAATAATTACTTAATTACGAACAAATAAGAGATTACATGCAGTTCTTGCCTTATGTCCACACAAATATTAGAAGTGGCAAGCATATGTTTTACCATTGTAATTGTGAAAGACAAAGCTGATGCAAAGTCATTAAGCATGCAATTTGAGTTAATTGTCAATGCATAGATGTGTTTTGAAATGATGAAATTGAATATGTTATTCGGCTGGTGCAGATTGATGATCATTTGTAGGATAGAATTCATGGTGATGATGATTTTCAATCTTGCCGACAAGGGTCATGAGTCCTTTCTATGTTGATTACGCCCCATGTAGAAACCCTTTAAAACAAATATGAAATAATTCTGAAATCTGATAGAAAAAAATGTTTCAGATTAATGGGAATGCACTTAACACTTCATTGCACCACCCACCCAATAAACAAACATCACATAAAAGTTTCTGCACAGTGGCATAGCGTCAAAAAGAAAGCAGACCTTTCGGTAATCACAAGGCTGGGTATCCTGGATGAGCACAGCACGCCTGCGTTGACACACGGTCACTTCCTATAAAAAAATAGAAGTTAGAGATGCACTAATTTTCAATGAAAACGGCGCAAAATACTACATTAATTAAACATGCACTAATTCACATTCTGCATTCTCTTTTCGGACTGAATTAGAACCATATATACCAGTTTCAGGACTCCATAGAAGATTTCATGGAACCAGTAACTAGCAGTGATGCAAGATATGACAATTTAACAAATCAAATCGGTGCTATCAAATTTCTTATAAGTCAATCGTTCACATAGTAAGCAAAGATAGCAAGTATGCAAATAGCACCTACTTATGAATATTCTACACGTTTCAACAAAACTCTACTGTTGTTTATGCAACTCCAGATTGAATAAAATAAGGGAGATGGGATCTCATTGTCTGAGGCATCGGGAGGATTTAAAGAACCCACAGACAGTGCCATTAATAAGTATAGAGAACCAACAATTATCCACACAAGCACGGATGCGGTTGATGGATGACTCCCTAAACCCCAACTTGGAAAGCACATCGCGTAGGAAACTTCAATTAACTCTGTCATAAGCCTTTTCCATGTCAAGTTTCATGATGAGGCTATGTGCTTTTTGGCGGCTGTTGAGATCATGAACCGTTTCAGTCGCAAGTAAGATATTATCCGCAATACTCTGCCCTTTGAAAAATCCCCTCTGAGTCTTTGATATCATGGGAGGAATGATGGAGGCTAGCCTTGTACACAAGATTTTGGATTTGATCTTGTTAACCACGTTGCACAAGTCTATCGACCTGAAGTTGTTCCAGTAAACAGGGTCATCGACTTTAGGCAAAGGGATGAGGGTGGAGGCAATAAAACTTCTTGAGATGGGAGATCCAGCGAAGAATTCTTGGATCACAGCAATAAGATCTTCGTGGATAATGTCCCAACAATGTTGATAGAAGAGGCTAGTAAAGCCTACAGGTCCAGCAACACTATCCTTGTTAATTGCAAAAACTGCACTTTTCATTTCCTAAAGACCCGGAGTGCTGCAGATCATGTCATTATCATCAGAGGAAGCTTCATGCTGGTAAAGATCAGGTGGAGCGTGTCCCAAACAGACCTTTTCATTGGTTAAGAGGTTCTGAAAATATTTTACTGCGGAGGTTTTGTTTTCTTCCTGAGAAGTAATGTACCGGGAGCCTTCTTTAATGAGGTGGATAAGGGTTCGCTGTCTTCTTCTTTTAACTAATGCATGGAAGAACTTAGTATTCCTTTCTCCTTCAACAATCCATCAACATCTATCTTTTTGCTTCCAAAACTCTTCTTCAAATGCTAGAGCACGAGTAAGCATAGCATTGCATCTGCTAAGCTCAATGAGATTGGCCTATGATTGTTGCTGCTCAAAAGTTCTTTCACTGTTGAGAACGTCCTGTTCAGCTTTGATCAACAAGTGGAAATCAATGGCAAAGATATTTTTATTCCACCATTTTAGATGCTGCTTCAAGCTGATAAGTTTTTGTTGGAACGTGATAAGGCCGTGAGTTCCTGATCAACTTCTATTCTTTTTTGTTGCCTTCAGATCAACTTCTATTCTTTTTCCTTTCTTTTTTGTATTTAAGAGGTGCCGAAGACCCGCTGTTTAAACCCATTGGAGCAGTTTGAGTCTTCACTAGTATCAACATTGTTCTGAACCCAAGTAGGGTTCACCTTATCCATTCCAGTAAGGTCCTCCTCAGTGAAGCCTTCCTTATGTTGGGATTTATCTTTTGGAATCTGATCTTCTTTTTATCATTTCAAGATGCTTCTTAGATCCTTTTGTTTATGTCCAAAATTCTCCTTATTACTTGGATTCGAGACAAAATTAGTCGATGAAGCAAGATATCCTTCCAAATCATGTCCCAAATGCTTACAAGAGACAATATTTCGGCACTTTCTCATTTTCCACTTGCTGTTCCAATTCAACACTATTAATGAGCAAATAGATTTTGTCGATCAGAGGGCGAGACACATCAATTTCAATACAACCTCGGGCAGCTGAAATTCTAGCCTTGGGAGCCGTTGGTGTATCCACTTTTAGAGGGGTACCAATCAGTGAGGCAATGGAAAAAAGAGCATCCCTCTGGCATAATTGGGCAAGAAGCATAGGGAACTGAACCCAAAATGGTACTACTGGAGATTCGATTCCCGGTTTAAAAGAAGGATTCCATTTCAAAACTCTCATAGGGAAGCCTCTGCTGAACCAAATTCCTCGAGTCCAAATCCAGGTGTAATCCTCCTCATTGGCAAGGCGAATCAAAATATGTTTAAAATTGATTTGTAATAACTTGAATTCCCCATTCAACTTGAGATCATTGAACGTATCCCAACAATGCTTTCCATGAGGAATACCCTTGAGTGAATTTTCCAACCAATGAGAACTTGAAATCAATTGCCAGAAGAGCAGTCTCCTCATTTGAAAATTCCAGCGCAGGGCCATTGTTGTATTCAGTAGTAGAACCAATGGCTTTTGGGTAGGGAATGGAAAGAAAAGAATTGGTTGAAAAGGGATGTTGTTTGTCCGGAGGGTTTGGAGGATGGTGGCAACGACTCCAGCAAAAGAGTGACGAGCAGGAGGCTCATCACCCACTTAAACAACAAGCCAGAAACACAAACACCTCAACCCATACTGATCCCAGGGTAGAGTCGAACAGGTGCAGGTTGAGATTCTTCCCTTTGAACCCAGCAGACCAAAACCAAAATTCCAAAACCAAAATAATCATGTGATAAAATTACACCATTAATAAATCAAACTTCACAGGGCACTTAAACAATCTGCCTACTCGTTCTCTAACACAAGAATATGTTATCCTACCAACTAATCAAGTTCTGTTTATCACACACAAGCCATACAATTCCCAATACCACCTGAGAAAGAAGAGGAATATTACGACACCCTATTTCGATTTCTCCTTACAGAGGACACAACGAAGAACCGTGGATCGATCCTCATACTACTAGAGATAACTTAAAAAAATTACCTGGATGCCGGTGCCGATTAACCTCCTCGATCCCACCTTCGCCTAGTACGTCGCGTAAACTCCTTCAAATCGCGTCAAAGAATGAGTTGTGCTCTAACTTTCTAAAATTCGGTAAGTGTGGAATGTATTTGGCACCGAGGAGGGGAAAGAGAAAGCCCGCGCCCTAAAATCGTTCTTAGTTTTCCTCAAATTTATACGCCATTTTTTACGAAGTACAATCGTAACTAATGTTATTTTGAACAAATTCTACCAACTCCGTTTTTGTTACGGCTTATTTTGTGTAATTAAAGAACCTGAAACGTTGACAAAAAAAATATTTTTTGGTCACGGAACTTGTCGTAACAATAACCATTATTTGTTACAATGTTATTGTAACGAACCGTCGAGCCATGGTGAAAGATCATTTTTTTGGTAGTGTATGTCCAGGAGTTTGAAGAAATGAGAGCCTTATTAAGAGAGGATAATAAAGCTTTGAGGGAAAAGTATTTTGTAGAAAGCTTCATTGGCGGATTAAGGGAGAAGATTGGAAAGTTCGTGACAATGCAGAAGCCCAACACTTTGAGGAATGCTATTCAATTGGCCATCCAAAGTGAAGATATTGTGAATCTTCTCACTAAAGGACATAGAGGATTGAAAAGGGGTAGCAGCCATCAACCAACAGTGCCGGTAACTAAAATTGGTTCAGATGTTGCTAAACCAAAATTACCTCCTATTAGAAGGTTGTCCCCCGAGGAAATGAAGGCTAGAAGAGAAAAAAAAATTTGTGTTTCAATTGTGATGAGGTGTTCCATATAGGACACAAGTGCAAAAGAGTATATTTGATCATAGGAGAAGATGATGGGGAAAGTGAGACCGACATTGGAACTTTGGAATTGGGAGAATGCCAAGGGGTAGAGGAACCCCAAATCTCTTTGAATGTTGTGGCTGGTCAGGTCCCTTCCAACACCATTAAGTTGTTAGGAAAGTCAAACAACTATGAACTGGTTATTTTGCTAGACTCAGGCAGCACTCACACTTTTTTGGACCCAAAAACAGCCTCAAAGTTGAGGTGCACAATGGAGTTTACTAATCCTTGGTTGATAACCATTGCCGATGGGAACAAGGTGGAATGCAGATCTAAGTGCCATATGTTTGCCTGGGAAATGGGGGGCCACAGGTTCAGTGCTCCTGTGAGATTGTTGAAATTGGGGGGCTGTGACATGGTTATTGGAGTGGACTTGCTAAGTTAGTTTGGAAAGGTGACCATAGATTTTGCAGAGCATACAGTTCAGTTTTGTTTTAAAGGGAATATGGTTAAACTCCAAGGAATCCAGCCTGGGATTGCATTAAGCATGCTAACTATGAACCAATTTAGTAGGGAGCTGGAAATGGAAGACACTGTGGGTTTCTTATGCATTATTGTGATACTGAAATTGTGACATTGCTTCAAGAGTATCAACATCTATTTGAACTCCCTGTTGGTTTACCCCCTAAGAGAAGCATGGACCATAGAATTCCCACCAAGCCTAATATAGGACCTATTAAGCAGCATGCTTATAGGTATCCTATGCTTCAAATGAGGGAGATTGAAAAATTGGTGGATGAGATGTTGCAAACAGGGGTTATTAGACCCAGTAACAGCCCCTATTCCTCGCCTGTGCTGTTAGTTAAAAAGAAGGATGGCTCATGGAGGTTTTGCATTGATTATAGGAAACTCAATGCAACTACAATTAAAGATAGCTACCCGATTCCCTTAGTAGATGATTTATTGGATAAGCTAGGGGAAGCAACTATCTTTGCAAAGATAGACCTAAGGGCTGGATACCACCAAATTAGAATGCATGAAGAGGATATCCCAAAAACAGTATTTGTAACTGCCTCCGGCCTATATGAGTTTGTTGTGATGCCTTTTGGCCTCACAAATGCACCAACTACTTTTCAAGCAGTTATGAATCAGATTTTTAAGTCTCACTTGAGAGATTTCATCCTGGTTTTCTTTGATGATATACTTATCTACAGCTTGAACATGGCAGAACACTTGAAACACTTGAGGATAGTGTTTAATATTCTATCTCAGCATACTTTATTTGCAAAAATAATCGAAGTGCAGTTTTGGAAGAAGAGAGGTTGAGTATTTAGGGCATATAATTGGGAGTGGAAGAGTGCGGATGGATAAGTCTAAGGTTCAAGCAATGCTGGACTGGCCGACCCCATCTAATGTTAAGGCTTTAAGAGGATTCTTAGGCCTCACAGGATACTACAGAAAATTCATTCAACATTATGGAACAATTGCTAAGGCCTTAACTGATCTTACAAAAAAGGGGAGGTTTGTGTGGTCTCCAGAAGCTGAGCTACCTTCCAAATTCTTAAAAATTCAATGACTACAGCTCCGGTTTTGGCCTTACCTGATTTCACTAAACCTTTTGTTGTTGAGACTAATGCATCTTACAAGGGCTTGGGAGCTGTTCTCATGCAGGGCCAGTACCCTTTGGCTTTCCTAAGCAAGGCTTTAGGCCCTAAAAGTTTGGGGTTATCAATATATGAGAAGGAATTTTTAGCTATTATATTGGCTGTGGAGAAGTGGAGGTCTTATTTGCTTCACGCCCCATTCATTATTCGAACAGATCAGAGGAGCTTGAGATACTTGTTAGATCAAAAAATCTCAACACCATTGCAGCATAAATATTTGACCAACCTCCTGGGGTTTGATTACAGCATTGAACACAAAAAGGGAACTGAAAACAGAGTGGCTAATGCATTGTCTAGAGTTCACCCTTTAAATGAGGAATTGGTGGAAGGGAAAAATGTGCAGCTATTACTATCTTTAAGCCTATGTGGGTGGATGAAATTATCAACATCTATGGCACTGATTTGTTCCTCCAGAATATAATAGTTGAGCTGGTTACCTTACCTTATAATATGTCTACGTACAGCTATCATGAAGGACTATTGAGACATAAAGGCAAATTGGTGGTGGGTTGTTCTGGAGATCTAAGAGATCAGATCCTACGTCAGTTCCACAGCTCAAGTGTTGGTGGTCATTCGGGCATTAATGCCACATTTCAGAGGGTGTCCAGTATTTTTTGGTGGCCAGGGATAAGGCAGCATGTACAGACTTTTGTCGCTTCTTGCCAAGTGTGCCAAGTGAGCAAGCATGATAATGTGCATAATCCAGGGTTATTGCAACCCCTACCAGTTCCGGAGCAGGCTTGGACTCATATCTCTATGGATTTTATTGAGCACTTACCTAAATCAGCCAGCAAAGACACCATCTGGGTGATTGTTGACAGATTCACCAAATATGCTCATTTCATTGTCATTGCTCACCCATTTACAGCCTTTAGTCTTGCTCAATTGTTCCTACAGTCAATCTACAAATTACATGGCTTACCTCACAGTGTTATTTCTGACAGAGACGAGGTATTCACTAGTCAATTTTGGCAACAGTTGTTTAAGGTGTTGGGGATTGAGCAGGGATTAAGCACAGCCTACCATCCACAAACCGATGGACAAACTAAGAGAGTAAATCAGTGCTTGGAATCTTATCTCAGGTGTATGTGCAGTGCTAATCCTAAGCAATGGTTCAACTGGCTACCTATGGCAGAGTTATGGTACAATACTTCCTATCGCACCTCCCTAGGTACGACTCCATTTCATGCATTATATGGTTTCCATCCTACACCATGGTTTTCTGGCCCTATACCTTACACCAATGTGGAAGGGGTTCAATATTTGGTCTCCAATCGACAGCAAGCCCAACAGGCCCTATTGGCAGCTCAATCTCGTATGAAGTATTATGCAGATTCTCATCATCGTGAACGCGAATTTAAAGAAGGAGATTGGGTTTACCTCAAGCTTAAGCCTTATCGCCAACTTTCACTTCACTCCAAGGATGTCTGGAAGTTAAGCCCCAAGTATGCTGGTCCGTTCAAGATTTTAGCTCGTGTTGGTGTTGTTGCCTATCGCTTGGAGTTGCCCACGTCTTCTCGCATCCATCCAGTTTTCCATGTTTCTCTTCTGAAGAAACATGTTGGTCCACTGTCTACTGTCACTGCCTCCTTGCCTTCTTTTGATGATGATGGGAAGATTATGTTGCAACCAGTAAAAATTTGGGCCCGTCGCCTTGTCAAGCGAGGATCTTTGCCGGCAACCCAACTCTTGGTTCAATGGGCTCACCTTCCTGAGGAAGAGGCCATATGGGAGTTCTTTGAGGATTTCAACACACGCTTCCCTGGTGTTGCGACTTGAGGACAAGTCATGTTTAAAGGGGGAGGTATTGTCACGAAAAAATGTTTGAAGGGGGAGGTATTGTCACGAAGAAATAAAGAAGGAGAAGAATGACAAATATTAATAAAAGCGTTAACTTGTAAAAGCGTAAAAGCGCTTTTTCCTAATTTTGCAATTTAGGGTATATAAATACCTGTATTGAACCAAGGGAATAATGAAAAATCTAACCGAATTACCTGTCTTCTCCTTCCTAAATCCCTCTGATCCCTCGCGCGTTGTCTTCTTCTTCCCCAATCCCTCTGATCTCTCGGGCGCTCAAGCTAGAGACGTGACAATTATGTCTTCCATTTTCAACCTAAAAATGTAAGATTCATAACCCTAGAATATTTAATTTGGGGTTCTCATATATTGGCATTCTGTATGCGAGACGACCATGGGGCAGAGGTTTGTAGATTGATTAGGGTTACATTGAATTTACGTTTTCGTGCTCATCTTGGTTGGGATTCTGCCCCATCTTGATTTTGTTTGTTTGATTTGTTTGATTACTATTGTTCTGCCGTCTGTTTGCCACCTCCTCTCCCCCATTCCATTGCAAAGGAACTGCATTCTCGATGGCTCCAGAGGTCTACCCCCTAACTCTATTTTTTAGCTAAAACCACGGCTTACTCTTAATTGATTCTTCAATACAAATACACATAAGTAGATGTCTCATTGTTTTCTTTTTCTTCTTATATTTGTGCTAGCTCTTAAAATTATCTCTGTGTGGCATTTAGGTTGTTGGGAACCTTAGCTATGGGCTTGCAGCAGATATTTGGAGCCTTGGATGTACTGTCTTGGAGATGCTAACCAGACGTTTTCCATACTCCAATTTTGCCATGTTCTTGATCAGTTACCTGAATATAGCTAAAATTTGATAGTTAGGATCGTTGTTGCTTTCACCAGTTGAGTAAGAGTATCCTAAGAAATGGATAGCTACCACGTATCAAGAAAAGATCTCATGAATTGTCGTATTTCACTCAAAGCCAGATACAAACTTGATAATTCTTGTCTTATCTTACAAATAAGATTGCATCGATTTGTTCAGAGAAAATTCCAGTGTGACACTTGTTTTCATTTATTGATATTAGTTGTGGGATTAAGGTTTATGACATACATGTCTAACACCAGTGCTGGTTGATTGTCTCTTCATTATCACATCAAGACATGCCTAATTAATGAAGTCCTATACCATAAATACTCTTTGATTCTCTACTTAGATATGATTGTTCTGAAGCTTAGCATGTTTTATTTATATCTTATGCATCAGATGGATGCATTATTCAAGATAGGAAATGGCGAAAGACCATCTGTTCCTGATTCTCTTTCCTACGATGCACGGGATTTTATGTTAAATGCCTACAAGTCGATCCAAGTTTACGAACAACCGCCGCACAACGCTTCTTTTCAGGCTTTACATTTCCGCAAAGTTTTACAGGACAACAGATTTAAACAACATACAAATTTTTCATTGACATCAAGGATGATTGCTTCTCTTCAAGCTTCCGTCGACTCTCCATGTGTTGAGATTTCTGGAGAACTTTCCCAAGACTGCTGAGGGAAGCTTTCTTTGTACTTGTTCAGGAGAACAAGAAAGCTTTTCAAGAATGAGGGAATAACGAGGATGTCCAATCTTCAAGGATTTAAATGCCCGTGGGACCCAACATTCGAAGCCGAGCTCGTCAGCTTCAAGAATCCATCACTGCGTTGACTAGACGATTTTTCATGGAGAATCAATTTAAGGATGATGCTTGGAGACCACTTAGCTCTTATATGACGTTTCTTCAATGGGACCCGCAAGAATCTCAATTAAAAGATCAAAAGAATCGCTAATTATGGAAGGTTATCAAGGGAATCATCACACTTCTAGAAGTTACCTTAATATATATTTTATTTATTATAAGTTTCCATATAATATAATTTCATAATAAAACTTTCATAATTATTTATTTCCATATAGTTAGACTTACTTTTTGGTTTGTTTCCTTTATTATTTGTTGTCTTTTATTTTTCTCAAGGACCTCTAAATAAGGTCCTTGCTTATCATTGTAATGCAAACTTTTTACATCTTGAATCAAATTTCACTTTTATAATTTTCTAGTGTTATGGAGTAATTTTCTCGCATTTAGAATCTCAAATCGGTCTTTGGAGTGATTTCATCGGTTCGTGGCTTCCAATCCTTTGTAGTGAGATTTAGTCTATTGTTTGTGTTTTAGTCTATCGATTGATTTCAGGTCCGAGACTTATTCTCGTAATTGGTTATCATCCATACTAATTCACATTCTGTGCACTATTTTTCTTCTTTCTTCTCATTTTTTTATACATATTCTGAATCCATTTGTTATATTGAGCTTTGTGGGTAAGAAAATTACATTGGTTATAATTATACATGATCGGGCCGTGTCACTCTCAGTCGAACCCAACACTTGCAGAAGACACTTGAGCGTCTGCAAGATGAAAAAGAAAAGGCAGAGGCGACAAATGTGTGCATATTTCAAAGAAGGACAAGTCCGGAAAAGGAAAAAAAATTGAAGGCTGAACCAAAAATTAATGAGGCACGCCAAACTTAGGAAGACTATCTAGCTTTTATAGGAGTTACCCTACCTTTATGCAGAGACTTGTGAAGCTAACTTAACAATGTCTGCCAAGAGAAGGTATGTGCTATTATTATCCACCTGTCCAACAATCTCAAGCTCTCTTCTAATAAAAATACTGCGGCATAATTAATTGCTTGTATGTAATATATCTAACAGAAAGAAGCCTGTATCTTTTCAATTAACATTTACGCAGGAAATAGCCGTTTGTTTTCCTTTATAAAAGCATGCATGCTTCTCTATTAATCTTATATGACATAATTGATTAAAGTATTTTTTTCCTAATTATACGAGTAGATTGAACTTGGTACACAAGTGAAGCATATGCTGGGCCAAGTGAAGCTCCACAAGAACCGTTGAATTACCTATAGTATCCATGGTAATAACGATTCATTGGTCTCTTTCTATCTCGGCTACTTTGATAACAATTCATTGGTCTCCTTCATAGGAAATATATCCACATGTCTACAAAGTGCCATTTAGAACTTTGTCCATCACTTCACATTTTCAGTGACCAACATCGTCCAAATGCATAGAGAGCTTAACCTATCTGTTCCACCTCAACACTTAAATGATGGGCTGAGGTAATCAGTTTCATTGTAAATGAGCAGATGGACAAGGAACCTTGTAACAGCCACTCCATGGCTGAGGAAGCTTGCGAGATCTTTTTTGCGGAATGAAGTTAAGATCCAACGCTTGCCTGATGCTTTTTTTCATGATATCAGCAGCAACGCATTAGTTTTACGTGAAGCAGTGGAGAATATCAGGATGTCAGTTCTTCTGCCCGAATCCATTCAACAATCAATTGCAATTGTCCATACAGATATTGACCGAATAATAACTAATATGGTATGGATGTGCTCTTCTTGACTAAAGACAATAGTATTGAAGGACAGACGAAGAGATGAGGTGGAAATGGACATGATCTGCAACTGCAAGAGACGAGTTCCAATAGATGCAGCCGACAAGGTGGGAGGTGAAGAGCTAGCTAATTGGGGAGCTGTGCAAAGGGTTTGTTTAGGCTGCGGGAAAAAAGGGGTCTCGGCTTCATCAGGCCTGCTGCCTAATGCTCTTCAACTTCACCAGGAGGAGGAAGACGAAGAGAAAGAATATCCTATTCTATTATTTCTTCTGTTGATTTATTTAATTAACAATTGAATATACATACATGTGGTGATCCATGATGAAGAAAAAGAATAAACAGACTAATGTAACTAACTCAAATGGTGATGAAAGAAGAAGAAAAACAGGGGAAATGAAAGGCAATATCATAGATAAATAAAAAATAAGTAAATTCTAAAATGAATGAATGAATTAATTAATTATAAACTCAGTAATAATAATAATTATAAGTAGCCGCAACTAGCAAGTGCAAGCAGAGCAGAGCAAAGCATATATGTGATTGATTATGATGATATGGTACCTACTACCTACTACCTACTACCTACCCTACCGGAAAACAATCTTAGCATGTGAAGAAGCCCGAGATAAGGCCATAATCTGTGACCTAATTTTGTGTCGCAGCAGCAGGAGTGAGCGTGAGCGTCTTCGTCCTCCTCCTCTGCGACTGGTGCGCTTGGGGAGAGCGGCTACCCCTCCCCCTCCCGCTATCAACACTTCCTCCAACGCCTTCCCATGCTTGAGCAGAAACTTCACCAAGCTCACGTTGTTGCCACATACTCCACTAAACCCGTGGATCCTCACCACTTTTAAGCTCTCAAAAAACTCCCTCAACCATTCTAATTGTGACTCCCAGTACGAGTATCCTTCTTCTCCAGGCTCACCCCATAATTCCTTGTTCCATTGCTGCTGCTGCTGCTGCTGTTATTATTGGATTTATTTCCACCACCAACAACAACGTCAATATCATATCATACATTACAAAACTCAGACTCACACACAAAGAATACATACACACACTTACTCCTCGTCCTTCTACCCTCTGATTACTCAAAATCCTGATGCTGAGAGTGTGAACAGCAGGAGCATTCCTGAACAGAGCCGCCATTGCAGCAGTGTCGTGCTTGCTGAAGCTGCTGGTTGTCAAGTCCAATGACTTGAGATCCTTGAAAGGGCACAATGCGCTTCCTTCTAAGAATAGGCTGTGTTTCGACAGAATCTGTATGCAATGGGATTCCACCGTCAGAGACCGGCAACTTGAAACTCCAGTCAAGAATTTAAGTACACTTGTCATCTTCGCTGCACTTAGATTATCGGACACGAGGAAGAAGCCGATGAAGACCTCGCGCAGACGGGTCAAGTTGTGCAAACTGCATTCATCCGTCACAGAGTTATACGACCATAACAGGATTTCGAGGGCAGGGGCATTGATCTTCACCCAACAGCTACTACTGTAGGTGGTGAAGCAGCTGGATACCCTAAGTCTGTGTAGTTTCTGGACAGAAATTTCAAGATCCTCCAACTGAAAGCAGCTCTCCAAGCACAGATCCTCCAACGCAGGGCATTCAATTCGGAGATGTTTGAGGCCGAAACAGGCCTCCAAACCCAGCTTCTTGAGCAGAGGGAACGAGGAGGATGTGAACAAGTCTAGGAGGGATGGCCTGTCGTGGAAGACTGGGCGGCAGAGGCACAAAGAGGTTAGGGATTGGAAGCCGTCCTTGACGATTTGCAAATGGGGCAATCTGAAACCAGGATGCAAAGCCCGCAATCTGAGTACCCGAAGAGATCCACAGGTGATGATGCTCCGAGGAAAGTTGAAGTAGTCAGACGTGGATACCTCCAAATCAAGTTCTTGGAGGTTGTGCTTCACAGCTTGGCGGACCAAGCAGGATAATTTAGAAAAGGTCAAGAAGCCTCGGAACTTGAGGACCCTCATGTCCGAATGCTTTTGGAGAAGGTCCAAAATCTGATCGACATACGACAAATAGGAATTGGAAGATCGTGGACTGGTCTTCTTCCTGGCGAAGATGGAGAGTGATGATTCAGCGTTCTCAACGGTAGTGAAATCCAGGTGGGGAAAGGAGTTCCAGAGATGGTTCCATCTCTTAGACAAGACGCCCATGCGTGCAATGGACTTGATGGGCAAGAAGAAGAAGATACGATGGATAATGTCGTCGGGGAGATCGCTGATCCGATCTTCATCCCGTTGGGGATGGGGCGGTGGAGGAGAAATTGGAGAAACCTGTTGCTGTTGCTGCTGGGATTGGGCTTCATTGAGGAGGAGCAGTTTCTTTCGTTTGGCTGATCTTGTTTCCATACATTCACGTGCACATGATATGATATGACGATGTGATGGGATGTTGTAGATGATGGATGGATGGGTGATCAGATCAATGAAATGAAAGAAAGGAAGAAAGAAGGGTCCTTCCCTTCCCGACCTACCCGGCGAAGATCAGATCAGTCTTCCCTCTATCCTAACTCCCTCTACGAGATTAATGCATAGGTGGTTATGATAAAATATTTTTTATGGAGTTTCGGAATTATTCAAACAAATAACAATAATTGCCTCCTCCCTCCTGCTTCTTCACAAATATCTATTCACACCCTCCCTCAACTTTTAGATAAATACCAAATTTAATCTCTTTTCTTGGGGCTGGCCTGGGCACTGGGTAAACATACATAAAAAAATTAAAAATACAAATAGATACTTGCATACAATAATGCAATGCTTATGAAAGCATAACAAAAATAAGGAGGAGCTCTTGTTGGTCATTTTCATCTCAACTTACTGAACATGAGAAGTTGCAAGATACAAAATGTCGGTAGTTACTTGCTTGATAATAGACTAAAGTGTATAGCCTAATTTTTTTTCTAGCAACATACAAACAAGACAAATTTTGTGAGAGTATTATCTCAAATGACGTCACACCCTCTCCCCGCAAATCTAGCAGCAAAGCAAATCCTTTGACAAGATGAGATCAAATTGACAACATCTCCATTTAAAATCGCCATCCCTCTTGGACAAAGGCATTGGCATAGATAGGAGCATTTTCATCTCACTGTCTTCACTCTCACATCAATTCCTTCAGCAAAAACTTCCAATATCTAAAACATGAAGGATCAGTATGAATGGCCTTTAGTATCCATCTGTGGGAACTTTCACTGTAGCTGGAGGAATACGGTGCAAAGCCATCTTTTGAATTTCTAGAAAGTAGATGCATTTGAAATAGGAGCTCGGCAGGTTTCATCTCTGCGGGTAGGCAGGCAGCAAGAGACACGTCAGAAGTATAACAGCACCAATCAGTGCAAGATTGCAAGCATCAACAATTAAGATACAGACTTGGAACAACACATGGGTACAATTAATCTCATCTATCTATATATATATATATATATGGATGTGTGTGTGGGCGTGCACCCACACGTGTAAACATTCTAATATTTATTGTTCACACCAGGAAATAAACAATTATGGAGTGCGTAAATTAACTTTCCTGGTGCAATGCCAACTATTCCTGTAACATGAAGCCATAAGAAAGTGCTTAAAAATGATTTCAAATTATTCGTAATGAGTTGCATCATGGTATTGCTATTGAATCAACCAACTCCATGCAGCAATTCACCAAAATCCCATCAATACAAGTTTATAGGATTTATTTATTGATTTGTAGCAATGGCTTCATTCTACCCCCAGAGTTTCATTGTGAATTAGACTGTCAGCACTGCATTAACTCTGTTTTTTGTTTAGCTTACTTGTGCACATAGTTCTGCATACAGGTAACTCAAAAGAAAATATATCAAGAGTATTTGAACTTCTGAAAAGAAACTATTGACTTCCAAACCTCTCCAGCAGCCAAGTATATAATTATCGAAGATGATAGATGCACAGGAAAAGAAGCATATTTTCTATATCAACAGACTTATCTGCATTATATGCCTAGCACAGCAGCAATCAGTTAGGTTTGTACAGGAACATACCCATAGCCATCAACAAGGATAATGTTTGATTTCAGCAGCAATTGAAAACAGAGGCACTATGTATGGAATGTACCTGGAGGCCAAGAGGTCCATTCATTGCGAAGGTTCATCTCCCACTTTGCCTTGGAACCAAGGCTTGCTTCTGCTTGGGCAAGCAAGAAAGAGATGATGGGCAAGTTATTAGCGGAAGCATCTTTGGCTTTCTTGAGACTCCTTATAGCTCGTGATATATATTGTGATTCACACTTTTGTTTCGCGAGCTCCATGGATATAGCACCTGTTTGGTACAAAAATAGATGTTTTTATATGTATTTTTCCATGAATGTCATGTAATGAAATCCCACTCACCTAGAATATATACAGCAAATGCTTACTTTTTCCAAATGTAAAACACTATAGTTGTTCAAATCATACATAGCTTAATCCAGATCACCATAAGGTTCAACCATTTATCTCTCAGAATAACTACTCACAATGATCTCGAAAGCTTAAAGAGAACAACTCTAACACAGAATCTTTAAAAAAGATAAATAGAAACACAAATTCATAAGACGATACCATGACAAAGAAACAGGTGGCTCTCACTGTCAGCTATAGAGCATGCTTGCATAAGGAACTCTTCTGCAGCCACAAAATCACTAGCCCCAATAGCAATCAACCCGTGTACCATATTAAAGAGAGCCATCCATATATTCCATGAAAGACTCGTATCTTTAGAGCAATTTTCATAGCTTGAGGCTAGCATATTTGTATTATCTTGCAGACCATATCTAGATTCAATAAGTTTCAGACAAATCCAGCCTATATGAAGGTCAGTCTTGAGTTCCAAACATCTATTGTATTCTTTGCTCATGCTAATGATATCATTTTCGGCTGCATGTCCACGGCATAACAGTAAATGTGCAAAAAATATATACTCTTTTTTAACAGAAGAACCTAAAGTACTACTAGCAATTCTCAAGCATTCACTATGATACCCTTGCTGAAGATTAGTCTCTGCTGCACAGAGTAGAAGCTGGAACTTTCTATACTGGCTAGATTCATCTTTGCTTGAGCAAAAATCATTAGACAGAGCCACAGTTGTAAGCCGTTCTAGTACACGACAAATATGATGAGGGAATCCTTCTTCCCGTGCCTTCTGAAAAAAATTTAATGTAAGCAAATACCTTGCACTAAAGTTCCATGGTTCTTGATGCAAATACCTGTCAAAGTACAACCTCATCAAAATTGAGCAACTCCACAGCAAAGTAACTTAATCTAGAAAGGTATAAGAATATTAAGGAAAGTAATAATGAAAGAATTGACCAATGATTTGAGGGCAGTGAAATTGTACTTTTGCATCACTTGGACAACTCCAGATCCAGAAGACCCTTGATGTCTACAGATAGCGAAGGGGTATTTCATTTTACAGCTTCCTACCACATAGCAAGCAACATTTGCAGCACCAAAGATCTCACATGCATGTTTGAGGATATCATCCTTTTGATGGTCACTAAAATGCATCGGAGAGCATCTTGTAGTGAGATAGAGATCCCTCCTCTCTTTGCTTAATAGCAATAGATAACTCATAAGATTTCTGTGTACAATAAACTATGTTAGATGAACCTTGATCAAATAATAAGTCATGGGACTTGTGTAATGTAATTGTAATTGTAATTCTTCAGTTAAGAAAATAAACTCCGTACATCTTCATACTATGGAAAAGCCAAAGTAGAAGGATGGCATAACTTGAATCTAAGCCAAGTCCCAGTCACAATGCCAAAAATCAACAAGAATCTCTCATATGACACTCAACATAACAAGCCTCAATGTATAGATTTTCAACGCATTTACCTCAATGAAGTGTTGTTGGGGAACATATGAAGTGCTTTCCTCAGGTGATCTACCCCCTTCTGCATTCCAAGAGATTCTTGATTTCCATTTTTGAGCTGAAATCATCAAATATACGAGACTTAACATACCAAGGATGCAGTCAGCAAGAATTAATTCGGAAACATATAATTTGGGAACTTACAAGTTTACCAAGGGTGATTAAAGTATGCATTGTGATGATATCTTCATTATCCTTAATATATAATCGACTCATAGAAACAATAGGCTGAAGTCGATTATTCGCATCAAGAACATGAATAGCCGAAACAACAAAACTAAGCTTTGAACTATGAAACAGTTCCTTTGGCATCTTCAAGATACTTGTAATTGCTGATTCTTGCCCAGATATGTAGTACAATAATCTACAGACGAGACTGATGGTAGTTGCAGCAAGATTTTCTTCCATAGATAAAATCCCAGAAGCAAGAGATCTTGTCATGGACAAAGCCATATCATTCTGGCCAAGTCGCCACAAACAAAGAGCATATATTTGTAGACCCTCGGAATCAAGCTGTCCTAGAAACAGAGGAAGAACATCAGCAGAAGAAGATTTTATTAACTGCATACTTTTGGTATCATTTGCAACATTCCCCCTGTGTTTTTTCCCATGAACTCATTTATATCCACAGTTCCAAAACTTCGAAATTTTAGATTCACTTTCCATTTCTCTGCATTAATATCTATCTGCAAATAAAGCAATGGCCTGTCTAAGCAGAAATCTTCACCACAACTCACCTTTTTGTCTTAGATATTCACACTCTTCAACAGCATCACTCACCTTCCCTGCCTAATCCAGGACAGGAGTGTTATAGCAAACATTGGAAGAAAATATCTGAATAGAACAATTCAAATTATTAGACCTACCATGCAAAGTGATCTGGCCAAATTGATAGATATATCTAGTAAATGGGATTCTGAAGATTCGTCTGCAAAAGATACCAGAGCACATCGTGCCAGCCTGTATGATGTAATAGCACTTTCATAGTCAGATCGTGATTCACATACTAGCCCAGCCAAGTTGTGAGATTCAGGATATTGTGGAACACGTTGCAATGCTTGTTGAATGGCTCCAAACACCTGTGATAATAATAATTACATGATAAATTTGTTGTAGGAGAGATCTTTTTATATAGTGTGCATCGAAGAAAACCCGTGGCAAAGAGATTGGTGTTACTGAGTACCTCTGAAGATGACAAGTAAGTAGAGCTCAATGCAAGCTTTGCAAGACCAACTTGAAATTCTGCAAGCTATTAGAGAAAAATGGATATTAGCGCACTTTATAAGATATTATATAACTATATATTCAGTCAAAATAAAATATGTTGCCAACAAAACATCATCTAAGAAATACCAAAATGAGGCAATTTCCAACAATAGATAACTGCTATTAAAAACTACGTAGAAATATGATATTATCTATCTTCTGAATAAAACCAATTCAGATAAGCATGGGTAAGGTATATCATACAGGAAATATCTGGACAGCCCGTAAACAGCACTCATATGCTTCATTTGGATCAAGCTTTCTGAGAAAGAAAAGGAAAATCTAAATTACATCTCTAATGAGATAAGATCGTAATTATATACATAGTCCCCCATAACTATTCAGATTTACCTAAAGCCTGCATCAGCTGACATGCCAGCCCATGGCAATGGGAGTGAAGGATCGATACTTCTAGCACGATCAAAGGCTTGCATTGCTAATTGCTTTTCACCCTCACACCGATAAAGCTGTAGATATTCATTATTGAGATTGTCAAAAATGCATAGAAAGATTTTCAGAGACATGACCAAAAAAGATAACCGCCTTTTAGATGGAAATATATACATTAATTTAACAACAGTTAGATCATCCATCAAGACTAATTCTGGGTCAAGTTTTAGTAAGTATGTAAGTCAACTACCTTGTGTCAGGCCTACCTTATGCACATTACAGTAAGGAAGGAAGCTTCGAAGCTGTAAAAGCTTAATAAGCAACTGATAGTTCAGACTTACATATCAGGTACAAAGTTCCCTAGTCCTGACATTGGTTTTTGAAATTTGAATTGCATAGATAGAAGAGTAATTACCTTTCCAAGGAATGCCCATGCAACTGCTAAAGATACATCCAATTGCAATGCACGTATAAAAGCATGCTGCCTTAATGCAATAAGGTCTGATAAGCACCCCAATGCCACCCAAAATTCTTGATTGTGTCCCTCCAGCAGTAAAGCACCCAAGCTCATCTTTTCTGCCACTGACCTGATTTGATCGTGAAGTAAGGTAATAATGATCACATAGCACATGAATTTATTTGACCCAAGACAAAAAAATTACCAAACATTCAGCTCCTGTTTAGGAGATTCCTTAAAAGATGAAGAGAGAAATGATGCAATAGCGACATCAGTATATGTACTAGCTAGCCAAGGGGTCATGCGCAAAGCATGCTGGTAGGAGTGGCAAGCATTTCTAGCAGCAGAGAAGCAGGTTTCCTTCCATGAACTGATAGAAGATTTGAAAGCTATGTCATCAGCATGATTGAGCCAAGCTTCCTCCATCCATGGGAAACATCTGGCATACATAAGCTAATAGTAAACAAATCAGAAATCATTCTCAAAAGTTCATATTTGAACAAAAATAAGAAAGAACACGTCAATGGAACCAAGACAAAACTAGGATATGGGAATACATAACCTTGATAGTTAAAGGCTCTGAAAATTATATACCTGTATATCTCCATGTAGCTTCCACATACAAGAAAAGTTACTAGCTAAAGATGTACCACGCAAAGCCACATCAGAAGCTTCCTGCATTCAGCTTTTTTCAGGCAGGCACAATCATCTCAAATAATTGCTAATACTAGGTTTGCAGTATTAACCTCTAAGAGTGAAGCTCCCCATTTTAAGGCACCTGAATTGGCACACTCCTTTGCAAAACCAAGAAGTGCAGAAGCAAGTCCATAATGTGCAGAAACATTGGAAGGTGAAATATTCAAAGCTTGCTGAAATTGCTCAATTCCCTTTGCATTTAAAAAAGGAGAAAAGATAGTAGATAATGGGAGCATTAGTAAAATTTCTAGAAAACCTATTCTTCATGATGTTCCTCACATAAACCATATTGAATGTGCAATGATGCCAAACAAAGAAGTATCTTATATTTTTTATGAATGCGACTACTCATACCATGAAAAGCTTTACAAGCAGGTGGTATCCAAGACTTGCCATTACAATAAATGCTTGGTAATAGAAATAAACAAAATATACATTTTGTCCAACTACAGGACACTTTGGTAAAAACTTAAGGATGGAAAATAAATTTCAGACTATCATGACTATAAATCAAGATCTGCTACACTTGGCATTCATGATTCATGTATACATTAGGACATCAAGCAGCAACTCAAGCCAGTGTAAATCATATGCTCTGTTGAAAATTGTCCTTTAATTACTAGAAACAAAACCCCATCCAAAGTCATTGTTGTTGAGTCCCAATTCAGTAAGTAATATGTCAGTCTCACTACAGAAGATACACGTGTCCAGAATTTCTAAGAAGAAGAATCAATCAATCAATTGCTTTTCACTTGCGACTGGAGCATGCTTAATGTGGGTACTTAATTTTAACATGAATAAAATCATTAAAGACTTGTACTGAAGTAATGTAATAATAGTTTCCTTACCAAAATTGTACTCTAAATTAATTATATGAAGTACCATGGTTCAAGGGAAAACACATTAACATTGATCAACTAAGATGTAGGAAAAATAAAATAGTCAAAACATGTAAAGTGACAAAGTATAACTTGCTGAACCTTGACGTAGATATGGACCAAACTCTGAACTTACAAAAAGAGAGAAAGAACTTAATACACTTAATGTGCTTGAAATATGAACAAAGAAATACTGGCAGCAGAAAAAGGTCAAAATATACTTGCCTTTCTAAATGAACCAAGCATCAGCGAAATATTTCCACTCTCAACCAGCGCAAAAATCCTTAAACTGTCCAACTCAAGTGTTCTCGCATAAGACTATAGAAACACAAAGAGAGCACAGACCAAGTATCAGAATGCCATAAACTTACCAAGTTTCAGGCTGTGATAATCTCAGAAAAAATTCTAGCCATCAACCATGACACAGGAAGCAAGTAGAATCCATGCGAATTTGTAAAAATATAACAAAAATTTTAAATAACTTTAAATTAAGGTCCATCGAGATCAGTAGTAACATGCCATGTATTAGATTAGCGACATTAAAATTTTGAACAAGTAGAAATAAACAACCACTCCAGTTGGTAAAAGTGGCATATGAAGACTTCACTCAATAAAACTGTGATTGCAGAAAGGAGAGAGATTCCAAAAGATATCAAGCAAGAAAGTCACCTTAAGTGCAGCAGAGAACATGCCCATTCGTTGGTAGGCCAAACCTAAGGTCTACAAAAAAGCACATAAAGGGAGGAGGGTGAGAACTACAACAAAGATTTTCCAAAATTACAACATGATGACTCAGCAAGCAAAAAACAAGTGGTGGTTAGCCAACCTCCCACAAGTCGGCACACGAAGCAAATCCACGAATTGCATGCTGGATGCTCTGGATGGCTTCAGACCATTTCCTTTGATGAGCCTGAAAAAATAAATACGCACTTTAACATTCATGAAAAACTGAGATTAATTTTAAAATGGCCACAGAAATGAAAGCAAAACCTGAAGGTATCCCATTCGACGAAAAGCCCAAAATGCTCGGGGAGACTTCTCAGAAGCTTCATGGCAGATGGCAAGCTCCAAACTCTCTTTCCCAGCCTCATCCAACAAATTGCAGATTGCTTCCTGCAAATTCAGGGCATTTCAGTTACATGATAGGAATTTCAAAATTTATTTTCTCAGTCACCTGATAATTATTGCTGTAACTCTTCCGGTTTTACCATTATTTAATTATACAATAGATCATTTCTGAAGCAGCCCCATGCAATTATGATACTGCACTGCCACCAATAACCGTAGTGTATCATACCAAGAGTTTAACAAATCATAGAGCAAAGTAGCAACTCCTACTTCATATTCAAAAAGAAATGTGACCACTCCAAGATGCTTCAATGGCTTAAAATGTTGGCAGTTGGTAGCTGGTTCGAGAACAAATTTTGATAAATTTCAAGAGAAAAACTTGGAACAGAATAAACACATGTTTTAAGATATCCTAGTCAACAAGTACACACCCCAGCCTCCAAATCATCCGGATTCAGAGTCACAGCTCTCTGATAACACTTGAGAGATCGCTGAGGCTCAGGTGATATATGCGCATAATAATCGCCCAGATATCTGAATGCAGCAGCATTTAGAGGATTGAGCTTTGCTGCAAGCATCAAGTGTTCCACCGCGTTCTTCTTATCCCCTCGTATCCATAGCAACTCACCCTGAAAAAGCATTGCCATGGTTTAATTAACCTGTCTGGAAAAGTATCTTCCTCCAAACGGAGAGAGGAAGAAGCAACTGGTACCAGATTAAATTGGACGGCGGGGTCGTTAGGATTGGACTTGAGTGATTCCCGCAACTCGTCTATAGCAACAGAAACATGGTCTTCGGTAGCCTAGAATTAATTGATAGAGCATTAAAAAGGGTCAGTGGAAAACGGCTGCTTAAAGGAAGCAGAGAGGCAAGGAGGAAAGGAAGATCACCATGTCCGTCTGATTAAACGCTCCACAGGCACGGAGACAGAGAGAGCAAGATAGAGCATGCGCGTTGCAATGGCATAGAACAGTGTCAACTCTTAAACGAGTAGGAAGAAGAAAACAAGAAGAAGAGGTGCAAATGGTAATTACGAAATGGATGCGATGCCACTTTTCCTTTTGGCGTTCGGCTTTTGCCTCTTGCCCGGCCTCGGTCTCGGTCACGGTCTCGGTCTCGATCTCGGTGCATTAATTAACAATGTATTTTGGTATCACTTACTTTCGATTAATAATTGGGCCGGGCCCAAACAGTCAATGCCAAGACAACCCATATTTAAATAAAGGTATGGGTTTGTGAAGTGTGCTTGTTTTGTCAATTGTTTAAGGGTGTGTTTTGTTTGGGGGTTTGAATTTTGAGTTGGAATTTGAATAGTAAAAAAAATATAAAAAATAATTATTATGTACAATATATTAATTTTTTTTAAAAAGCTGTGAATTACTTTCGCAAAAAGAACATACCCCAAGTGAATATTTTTTGATAAAAATATAAAATCAAACGTCTTATTTTTATTTAATACTTTTTCTGTTTCAAATACTATACAATATTTTGGTATTTTTCAAACACCCTGCAACATTTCCAAAATAGAAAATAATTAAACATAATCTCTGTTCCACACTTTATCCTCTCACATCATCCAAATAAAAAAATAAAATGTATATTTCTCTCTCCATCACATCATCTAATTTCTAAATTATTCTACTTAATACCACCCGCCTAAAAACCTTTATCAAACGCATATATTGCACCTTGTTTGGGACTATCGGAGTATTATATTTGATGTAATATTACATTAAATACTTTGTATTAATATATATTCATATCACCTTAAATTATTATGTTAATTCAAAATTTTATTATTTAAAATTGAAATCTAAAACTAAAACTCCACGAACAAACACAATCATATGCAAGAAATATATATTAACTACATGAATTATGTGTGGAAGCTTTGTTATGCCAATCATTTTCAGTGCTTAATTTTTTTTAGGCGGAACACGCACGCATGTATGGATGTTGGAATTCAAATTTTGAATAATTAAACATTTAAATTTTAGTAGGAGGGATTTCATTTACTATTGAGAGAGAATTAATTTTCTCAAAAGAAATAGATGTAAGATGGTTAATTTGGATTAGTTTCTATATAATTCGAGAAATGGGTAACTAAAATTTCTAAGTAAAACTAAGGATTTGTTGTTTATAATTTTAAATTGAAATCAATAATATTTATTTTGTACGGTTTTTAAAAAATATATATATTTCATGCGTATCTTAATAAACTATTCATTTTTCCATTTTGGTCCGTCCCATAACAAATTATTCATTTTTTTAGTAACCGTACTATATACCTAATATTACAAATACCCTTCCAATTTACAATATATTACATAAATGTCATTACGTTTATAACATAAAATACTAATAAGGTTAGTTTAGTCTTTTTACCTTTATTTTTACTTTATTCCAATATAATACTAATATTTCTAAAACTCTGTGTAAAAAGAAAACTGATAGATAGATATGAGACAGAGAAAATATTATTTTTTCGAAAAATATCATATTAAAATATTATGTAAACGAAAATTCAAATTACCATCTTATTTTCAAATCCAATGCAAACTACAACCAAACAAATCCTAAGTATTATGTATATTATGTTTATCCCACAACGTAGGGAATGAATGATAGTCTATTAATTGTTACGAGCTAACTTCAATTTATTGAGTCATGCTATCTACCTTTTAGCAACTCACCTACTAAAACCAACTTTTCATTTGGTTAAGCACTTACAAAAGTTTAAAGACTTCTAGAAAAAAAAAAGTACAAAAACTTATATTGTAGAACGAGAACTTATTGGTTTACAAGTGAAATGTAAATGTCGTTTTATAAGTTTAGAATTTCATTACAATGTACAGTTGTCTAAGCAACATGCACAAATCTACAAGATTCTACCATGTTTTAAAATATTTTTTCGGGAGAATTTCAGAGTAATCCTTCACCTATTGTGCATCCAATCAATCTAGGGATGACAATGGGTCCAAGTAGATACGAAATCGATCCAGACCCAACTCATTTATTTAGAGTCAGGTTCAATTATTCGGATTTCAAATTGAGTATTACATATGTACAATATTTAGGTTAGGTTTGAGTCTAAGGTTTAAATATTTGTTGAGTTTGATTTCTTTATTTATGGTGGTTTTATTATAATATTTTAAAATAAATGTGTAAATTTTATGTATGTTGTGTTCAGGTTCGGATCCAAGTTCAGTTTAATTTTTGTAGAATTGCAAAGATATTTTGGATTCGTTGTGTCTATCGAATTTTATCGGATATATCTCGGATCAGGTCCCAATATAATCAAATATAATTTAAGTCTTGAGTCTACTAATATATATATATATATATATTCAAGTTAAGTCTCAAATTCATTCATAATCGATATGTTGTCATCCCTAAGACAATCCATGCTACACCTGCATGTTCCAGCTGTTCCGAATTGTGTTGCATCACCCTCATGTTCTAGGACTTGAACTACTTGTCCCTAGATCTTGGAAATTAAGTCTAACAAACTTTTTCTTGAAATATGGACTTTATGTGGAGTTTTGTATTTTTCTCTAATTATATAATCAAGTATTTCTCAAACCATAAGAGAAACTCTATGTTTAGTCTACGTTTTTTATTATAGTTTTTATAATCAGAGAGATGTATCAAATTTATTTTAGAGGAATTGTAGAAGACTTAGCAGAAATTAAATTTGGTGAAGCCTATGCTGCAAGAAGCCTCTTTTGAAATCCAAAAAAAAAAACCGAAAAACATATTTTTTGGACAAGGAATCCATCCTTTTAAGATTAGGCTTGTGAAAGATTTTTTAGTAAGCCAATTTGTTAAAATATGTCCAAAAGAAGTGAAGAAGGCAAAAAGAAAAAAGGAAAAAAAAAAACAAAAAAGGCCGAAACAAGCCCTATAAAAATGGATATTTATGGGTGAGGAAGCCTATTCGAATTGGGCTTATTTGGAGCATGTTAATTGGATTCGTTTGGTAGAAAAAACTTAAAACTTTGGAAGTTTTGAGATATTTTATATATTTAGATATTAATTTTGATTGATTTATATAAGATTAGTTGGTTTATTTTGATTTAAATATATCAAGTATGTTTCATGTCTATATTTTCATTATGAATAATATGCAATTTTGGAGGTTTCTATGCAATAATTTCACACGGTATCATAACCTACTATATTTTTCCTAGAGTAAACACAGTCTACTAACTCATATTTTTCTTAGAATGTATCCGAGGTCTCGCGATTTTGAGATCCTACCTATAGTTACAAGTCTATTCGTGTGTTGTTGCGAAATATGTCTATGAATTATTTTGCGTTATGTCTACCAAAAAGGAAAATTATGTCTAAGTTGTTAGAATTTTCTATTGTCTGCAAATATGTCTATGAAATCGTCCCGTTTTCTGTTTGCAAAAAAAAAAAAAAAATTGTCTACGTTTGCGAATTCATCTGCAAAATTTGTATGTGAAATCTTTTTGTTGTCTTGAAATCTATTTTCAAAATATACATGCATTCCGTCTGCAATAAAAAAAAAGGTGATCTATCGGTGTATCTATATGTGTTTAACTTTGACTTCTTGTTAAAGTTCACTCTGCATATTTGTCCGGAACTTGTCATTTCAGTGTATTTATCTACAATTTATCATTGTAGTGGGAATCTATTTTTGGTATGATTTGGGAGATTAGACACGAGGAACATAAAAAAAGAATTTCTAGGCTTGTTTGTTTTGTTTACTAAATCTCAAAAATCATTTTAGCCTCAATGTTTTAGTATAATTTCAATGTTTTAGATCTATTTGAATTCGCTTATGCTAATAATTAATATTTTTGTTTACGAGGTATTGTTCGATAAAATCTATCTATTCGAGTTCAATTCACAACAGTTCTCAGCCAGAGTTCTATCTACGATCTTGTGTTTGCCATTACTTCAATCAGAGTTTTGTCTATATTTGATTATGATTCTGTGTACTTTTGATTCGGATTCTGTTCAAGCAAAGTCAAGTTAGTTTTTACGACACTACTTGAGTTTTGAAGAGGATGTTGAGATATTTTTTTATATTCACTTAGATTTAAATGGTTTATATTATTGTTACTTTTGGTTGAAAATTTCAACTGGATCCAAGGACTTTTTTTAAAAGGATTTAGAGTAATTAAATCCTTAATTCATACTAAACACAGTGCTCAAGCATTTGATTGTAAAAAAGTTAATGAATAACAAGAAAATGTGAAAAATTAAATCAGTGCAGGAAATAAAAAGGAATAATACATTTGATTGAGATGTTTAAATTTGAGTTTCTACAATGATTACAATGCATATTTATAAAATCTAAACACGGTCTGCGAATCGACACACCGTTTCGATGTAACTAGTAAAACAAAGGGACACAACCCTTCGACATAAAAATAATTACAATGAAGTTATTTTCTAGTTTTTTTAATTATGTCTACATTCGGAAATCATCTAATTTCTCAAACTAGATCATATTTATATAATAAATATAAATGATGTTTTAATCAGAGGCGCCCTTTTGATAAAACACGTCTGGATCTTCATATTCTTTCTGAAAATACGCACAGGCCTTCTGAAAGACATCTAATACTTTGAAAAACATGCCAAGCCTTCTGAAAACACACCCAACCTTCTGAAAATACGCCCAAATCATGCATCTTGTCTGGGCGCCCTCTATTTTGTCCGAACAACTTTTGCATCAGTCTGGGCAACTTCTGTATTAGTTTGGACTAGTTCTACATCATTCTTTGTTTTGAATTCTATTTTAGAAATGTCATTTTTATTAATTCGCACGCCGGGGTGGCCTTCAATTCACCATGCCCTTGAATCGACCACGCTCCACACGCCTTGGCGCCCTAACTTTTTAATGCACCTGGGAGATTTATTTTTGGTAGTAACATAGGCCCCCTTCTTGTCATACGACTGAACCTATTAAAGCCACGTGACAAAAAAATCCTAGAAACTCATAAATTCAGATCCACAAAGACTTGTTTTACAATCTATCACGGGGTATGGTTTGATGATAGAAGAATAATTATTGTTAGACCATTGCTTAATC